GGTTTTGATTCTAATTTAGCGCTTTCTTAGTTTGAGGTGATCGCTCGTAAAATTTGGCCTGCTTTTTTCCGTGATGGAACAGGATACGAGTGAACTTTTTCGTTGCCTAGCAGGTGACTGCAGCTACCGTGATGAAAAATTGCGCAAGTGGTTTGTATTATACGCTACTAAAAATTGTTTTCAAAGCTCTTGGAGGTTTCTGAACTTTTCTGGCATGTTTATTCAAATCGAAACTTTCATGTACGCAATCACGTCCCATAAAAAGCAAAGGGCAAAATATCAAACTGAGATGCTTTCACGTGCACGTATCACAAAAACAGCAATTCTGGTCAAGAGGTCAAGTTACAAGCAGAATTAATTAGAAGTAAAGTTTCCAGCAAAAAAACACCCTAACTTTGGACACCGATGAGCAGACATTCAACCGCGATAATGCTGATGGGCATTCACAAACAGGCAATCGAAAAAAAATTGGTAAGTAGAATTCGAAAGGCAAGCTGAAGAACAAAAGCAACAAGACTTTGTTTACATACCATCGCGTATTAAACATTTATTTACACAAGCTTCCTTTTATTTTGGATTTTAAAAACAAAAGGTCATGGATTGCTTTTCAAGTTTAACTAGTGAACTGGCAACTTTTGCTATTTGAATGATGCAAAATGCCGTTTGAACAATTTAAAGGTTTCAACACAAAGTAGCACACGAGCCGTGCAAACGAATGCAAATTTCCTGAAGAGTTCTCCCCGAGACAGCTGTCAACTGCTATTTGCATAGTTCAGGAATTTCTCACAAGAATCAAACGCTGAGTAGAGTTTGTTATTTTATAGAGTACAAAGACTTTTCTGACGTGAGAGAAGTTAGAAGATTACTCAAAACTTGAACAAAGGTTGTTACTTGTAGACTCTCACGGCAGTCGAGTATCAAGAGTAGAGAGTGAGTTACTCAAAACTAAACAAAGGCCGTTCCAGTTTGATGGGTCTTGCGGGAATGAAGAATCGAGAATTGAGACGCAACAATTGAGAATCAAGTCTCGATTCTCAACTCGAATCTCTATTCTCAATTCTCGCAAGGATCGAGAATCAAGTGTCAACTTACTTTTGAATGGTACTGTATGTCTATATCAGCAAGAATCCATTATACTGTACCAGAATTTTGTTTCAATCAACTGTCTGTACATGTCAAGGGATTTGGCTGAAAAAGTTTAAAGGAAGAAAACAACTCTTAAGAACATCTTGCTTTTAATTATTATATTAGAACAGCTAGTGCATAAAACATGCAATTGATAAAAGCAGTCCAGCTGTGTTGTATATAGATGCTTAACTGTCAGTAATAGTTAAAAAAATATATAATTTATTGAAGGGCTCCATGCTAAATTGCCTAATGCCCCTGTGGTGTATTTTTGGGATGATTGGGATTTAAGCACCACGGTAGGTTTGATCGCTAATGCACACCATTGGTAACTCATGTACTCTTCTACATACATGGGGGGTCATGTAGCAGCTTCTCAGAATAGAAGTCATCAATGGTGCCTAACCCGACCACAAACAATACTGAAACAATTGAAAGAATGAAATCATTGTTTTCTGCAACCAATAAGAAGAGACCTTACGAGCAGCTCCTGCACAACTGTACATGGGGGTGAGGACGGTACACCTAAATATTTACATGTCCTGCAGCCCCCCACATTGAGATTTCCTTTTTGGAGGAATGGTTTGTATTTGTTGTATTTAAAATTTTCAGCTCTGATAAGAGATGACAAGCATTTTGCTCAAGTCCAAGGATCAGCTATTAATAAACCCATCATTCACATTTTTTCCTCTGCTGGAAAAGAACTTGCCACAGTTAAGGTATGTGTCTTTTTTGAAGGTCTACTGCTGCTTGTTGTTTAACCTGGGAACACAGACAAGGAGGAGTGTCGACCAGGCCAAGCAGGCTACTTGTTGTTTAATATTGACAAATTTTGTGAATATTGTTCTTGGCTAGAAGACTAACTGTCAACTTTTTTTGTTATTGCTTTGGAAAAGAGCAGGAACTTGTATTATCATATGGCTGGTTCTGTGAGCAGGAAAGATGAAGTAATATTCTGACTAGTTACTGAAGCAGGCAGAATGGATCTATCTTAGTCCATCATTAGTCTGCTTCACAGCCGTTTTTAGTGTTGTCACACAATGCTCCTACCCACCTCCCTTGTGGGGAGGAGCGTTACGTGACAACGCTAAAAGCAGCACTGAAGAAGACTAGTCCATCACTGCATGGGAACAAGAACAAAAGCAAAAATGTTCTGCTTCTGTAGGCTATTGATCAAGTGTTCTTTTTTATTCTTAGTGGGATGGAGGCCCCATAGTTCAGATGGGATGGTCCGTCACAGAGGACCTACTTTGCGTAGCTGATGATGGTACAGTGATGGTGTATGACATTCATGGCGCAATCAAGAAAACCTTGTCAATGGGACAAGTAAGTGTTAAATCATTTTGTGTCATGAAAAGGCTGAAAAAGAAGACATGATGCATGTATGTTTGTAAAGCACCACAGCTCGACAACTTCTAGTCAACTTGAAGCTCATCTTAGCCCATTGATGCCATATCTTATGTCAGTAAATTCTTTAACCACCCCAAGTAAATAAATTTTCTGACAAATTAAATAATCATTAATTTTTCCATAACTATGAGCAAAATGAATGTAATTTATAATATATTATCATCAAAAACATAAGTCATAGACTGTTTGCTACTTTATTACAAAAATAGAGTATACTCATACATATACTTTTTGTAGCAAAGGCATAGCCATTGAATAATATTACCCATATGTCGTGTATGTTTCAGGTCAAAATTTCAATTCAGGTTAAAAGCTTTTAGCCTTGGTTGATTCTCTATCTCCTTTGTCCCCTAGTCCTAATTTATTCGTGAATTAACTCTATGAGACAAAGGAAATCAAGAATCAACCTGGATATGATTTTAACCCATAATAGACATTGTATTTATGTCGTTTTTGCATGTGGCCGTATCAAATACGTGGCAACTTCATAGATCTGGTGCTTTTAAGTTGGGTGCAGGAGACGAAACTCGTAATTTTTATCTGTATTATTTTGTAGGATGCCAAAGAATCCAAAGTTATTGACTGCAAAACCTATAATTTTGCTGGAAGGACTGGCATAGCTATCCTGACTAGTAATTACCACTTTTATGTTGCAAACAACGTGGAAGAGGTCAGGAGTCGACGGTATTATGACCCACCCGGTAAAAAAAATAATCATAAAGTTCAGTGTTTCAGAGAGATTAATAATGTTTTATTTTGAAGTTACATGTTCATCTCACGTGCTTTTGTGATCCATAGAACTCAATATCCGCTTGTGCCTCACTTTCCTTTTGTGATAACTTTGAATTTGATGAGAGTTAAAGTGTTGTTCAACAGGCAATAAAGAAATCTTGTCACGCATTATTCCTTGTAGCATTTGACTGACTTCAAGTGGGCTTGAATTCTTTACCTTTTTTTTTGCGGCGTGAATATTTTTCAGGCTTTCTTCTCTTAAATATTTACAATGATCTGTCTTAGTTAAATGTGTATTTTGCCACATTTTTCACAAGGAAAACAATAACTGCTCTCGATCCCAACTCGTTAAAATTCTGTCACCTAACTACCTGAGGGCTGTCCCTATCTGAGAAAACTAGAAAGTCAAATGGTTTGCAGATGTCTTTAGAAAGGCAGCACTTTCTGCTTAGCATTAAAAGACCCCTGCCTAAGTGTTGATACGGCCGGTGTGTTGAACCAGCGACCTCTCGCTCAGCAGACCGGCGCTTATCCAGCTGAGCTAACCGGACGGCAAAAAATGACCAGTTATGAATCTTAAGAAACATAGGACCAGTTATTTAAACGTAGTTTAACCAGTGTTTAACAAAACCGCGTTCTGAGCCATTTTTCAATTTGCCTAACGGTTTTATCTAAACACCGTTTATTGTGAAGTGTTTTATGAAAGCATTTAGAGTAGATTAGAAAAGCATTTAACGCACTAAGGAAGAGATCTGGAGGTCAGAAGATTCGTTAAACCCCGGCTTAAATTAAACTTCGTTTAAATAACCGACCCATAATTTTTTTAACCAGGTTTGGATGCTCCACCCAGCAGCTGGGTCATTATGCCGCATGACAGAGGTTCATCGTTGCTAGTGGCAATTGATAATCTGTTATACCTTACAGAAAAGGGACAGTGTAATAGACTGGTGAGCTGTAGTATACAGTAGAACTGCTATCGTGATACATCCTTTTATAATCTAGTCCTTTCAAGATATCTCCAAGCTCGAGACATGCTTTTTTGTATAGTTCCCATCTTTTTACAACATCTGCCTTTTCGTCGGCAGTTTCAGGATTTGAAGAAACGTGTATCTAGCAGATATTCGCACACTGATTGCAACTCAGCAACGGTGGCGAAAACGTCTCTTAAAAAGAGAATTCGCGTTGTTTGAAACTTCATGGCGATGAATCCAACTCGCATAATTTGTCAATGCAGGCGAGTCCTGGACGTGTCTAGAAGTTGAATTCTTAGGCCCTGGTAAGGTAACATGCGGTGGGTCACCCCGCCTATCACGTAAACGTGTTCAAATTAAAGTGAGAGATTATAATTATGGACAGAAGGGTTACCCCCACCTAAGCGAAAAAGAGAAAAATTGATCATCGTGTTCACTTTTTCGATAAAACGTGGAATTAGGAAATTTCCCGTCTTGAGAAAATTTGCCAGAAGCGTGATGCACCTGCAGAGTTATTGTTTAAAGAATTTTCGACCGGCTAAAAAAATTTGACCGGACATATCGTTCACCCGCGACCGTTCAATATTTTTTGCTGTTCACAAGGAACTTTGAACGGCTATGCGTCTGAATTTTCGTACGGTTAAGGTGATGTTATAGGAGACGATGCGTCGCAACACAGCGTTGCAATGTTGGAACAACGTTGCAACCATTCGAAACAATATCGCAAAAATGTTGCAACGCCGTGTTGCGGCTTGCGAAAAATCGTGGTCGCGAATTCGAGTGAACGTTCGAATTTTCAGCCGGTCGAAAATTCGCCCGGTTGCCTTTTTGACTTTCTCTTTGCTGTCGCTGTCTCGACATCATAAATTTCCTCTTGAGTGCCAAGTGTAAGACAGGTTGCTACTTTTTACCAATCCTGAATCAGCCACAGGGCGTAGCAAAGCAGTGGGTGCGGGGAGAAGGAAGGAACGGAGGGCAGAAAATAGAGGGGTGTCTTGAGATGTCGCAATGAGAATATTGTACATCTCCGGCTTTATCAGTGTCACAACTTTAAATATGAAATAGGGAAGTCTCGATCGTTTATAATGTTGACAAATTTTTCCCTGAACTCACACAAGTGAGTATGCTCGCCGGCTACTGTTGTTGTTGAATAGTTTTGATATTATTCAATTTTCAGACTGTTTCATTCAGCGCTGGGGCCCCGGTCACTTCCATCATAGAAATGGCCATATCTTACAATTATGAATACCTAGCAATGTTTACAGACACTGGTTTGTTATGGATAGGATCAGCAGATTTACAGGTGGATATAACACTGTCACATTTGTTCAGCCCGCAAATTCAGCTATCAGAGGACGAGTTCCAGTAGCTAGCGCCGAGTTGACTGGGATTCTTAGAAAATGAGAACGAGTGGCGGTCTAATTCAACTGGCAGTACTAACTTTGATTCTATACCCAGGTTTGAAGAAGGCGTGTAAAAAGGCTTTTGTTTATACTACTCAATTTGAGGTATCTTTTCTTGTAACAAATGAATACAGTAAAAACCCGCAAGTAAGAACCTGAAAATTAAGAACCTGTTAGCCTGAAATTTGCCATTTATACCCCCTATAAACAAGAACCTGTTTAGCCTAGAAAATGAAAAACAGGTTCTTATTCTTGAAAGTCATATTAGTGAAATGCAGCTGCAAAGCTGTGTAAGAATCCTGTCTGGCGAATTAGGAGCTTGGCATTGCTGTGCAAATAAAAGTGCTAATTTATTGATTTAATAAAAAAATAAAGTGCAAGAGTTTAATATTGTTGTATCACATTTTGAAGTTGAAAAATACGCAGATTACCATCCTGTTTTGTAGCTTTTTTTTTTTTTTTTTTTTCAGAAATAAGAACCTATTTAAGAACCTAAATAGCCTAAAATTGTGTTAACTACTATTTAAATAAGAACCTGTTTAGGCTAACTCCAGAAAATGTAGGTTCTTACTCGCGGGTTTTTACTGTACCCGTAAAATAAAATCTTTGTATCCGCCTTAGTTCTCCATGGTGGGATTATCATCATTAATTTAGTTTAGCCACTTCTTCCTCGGAAACCTTGCAAAAACAGTTTCATGTGATCGCAAAGTTGATATTTATTGTGTTCATTTAACTTGTTGACATCTCCGCAAAGCGAGGAAGCTTAGCAACCCGGGCCGCTAGGCCAGGCTCTGAAGAGCTCAACTTAAGTACACCTGTATTTGGTAGTTCTTTGAATTTTGCAGTTATTGTTGTATTTCTGTCTTCTTTAGAAAGTCTACTGTGAGTTCAACACTTCTTGTCCATCAAGACCCAAGCAACTAACCTGGTAAGGAGGGAGCAATTGTTGTTTCTAGAATGAAGGCTCTCGTCTTTTATGACAAATTCTCGCCCGGTTGGCCGGGCCATTCTTTTGAATTCAAACTAAGAGCCCTCGGTGTTTTTCTTTCTTCCGCCACCCATCTAGCGATGTGTCGCCACAACGTGTTGCTTCAACTAATCTCCTGACCTGTACACAGAGAGTAATCTGTCGCCGACACGTGGTACTACAACTTGTCTCCTTGTGTGTTCCGATCTATACTTATTTCAACTTGCCTTACAGGTGTGCAATGGGTGCTGTCATATGTTACTGGGACGATTATTTGGATGTTATTGGACCGACAATGGACACTGTTAGATATCCTTTGATTAACAAGATCATTCTTTATATCCGACTAGCTTTCCAACTATTTGCGGGGCAAGCTATCTAACTGTTAGAGCATGCTAGAATTAAAAATTGTTCTTGTTGTTGTTGTAAATGTTCTGAATGTTGGCTTGGCCAAGTTGGTAATTGTGCTGCCATGCTGCAATTATATATTGATCGTGTTACTAAAAACACCCTTGATTTGAACTGACAATTGTTACTAGTGTAGTTTAACTTTTTCTGTTGCTGCCGTAGAATATTGGAAATTTTAAGATATGTGTAGTTTTTTCTTTCATTGAACACGCTATTGCCATATATTTAACAATTACTCCACGAGTGCGCGTTGAATATGAGTGGAATAATTTTTTATTAAAAACGCCCACAAAATATCGTGAATTCTTCCCGACTTTATTTGTAAGAACAACCGATTTTCAATTTTTGTATGGTTCATATACCATGATGGCTAAGCCAATCTGAGCTCTTTAACTGTATTATCCAATGGTTCAGTTTTAATAAATATGCTTATGCTACGGATAGCACACTTTCTTAACATATTTCACATATCAGATGGACAGTGCTGTTCATTTAGTTCAAGAGTTAGATGGCGTAAGAATCATTGGTAACGAGACTCGTGAACTGCTTCAGCGAGTTCCAGGTTGGTAAATATGATTACGTTGATTGCGGGCGGTTTCTCCTCCTGGCAAAACCTCCCTAGCAAAGAGGAGCAAGGTGAAACGGCTGTATTAGCAGACTACAAGTGAAAGGTTTCAATATGCTCGCAGATATTCTGTCTTGTTCTCGATTCATAAAGCTATCGAAATATAGCCAAAAATAAGAATCCCTGTTGGTGGCCGGTATGTCCTTGAGATTGATTTCTTCTCTACAGACATTTGATGCTTTTCCAAATTACCTTCATTACCTGTAGGTGCTTAAACCGAAAAAAACTCTCGAGACTGTTGACTTAAACCTTTAGCTCAGTGTGGTCTTGCTGCGGCTCATGTATGATTTTTCAACTTACTTCCCGGAAGCAGATGGGACTGACTCTACATTCAGTATTCCCCCCTCCAAAGAAAATGGGTACCCTGTTGTCACGAACAAGCAAAAAGCCCTAAACTTTATTCCATTGACTTGTTCAATCGGTTCACGGTCAAGTCGCCCGAAATCAGGGTCATGTCGCCCGATATCTTGAGTCATGTCGCTCGAAGTAAACAGCGATATTTGCGTCTTTGTTTAACTTCACATTTGCATAGGTTACCGGACACAGTTGAGTCAACATTTTTCGACTAAATTCCTTGCGATATACTTCAGATGATACTTTTGTTCAAGTTTATACACTCGATAAAATTTTAGGCGACATGACTTAGGATTTCGGGCGACATTACTCTGGTTTCAGGCGCTATGACTTCGGGCGAGATGACTTTCTAGTGACTTGACCGGTTACCGTTCAACCAGAACCACTTCTTATCACGAATGTGAATAATTATGTCCGATACCAGAGCTACTATTTCTATTCATCTTTTAGCTGCTGTGGAACAAGTGTTTAAAATCGGTTCAATGTAACCAGGTGCGATGCTGTTTGATGCATCAAAGGAATTTGAGGCAAGCAGTGCTTCACTCTCTCTGGGAAAAAGTTGTCTCGGGTAAAAGGCTCAGCCGCCTACCCAAGCCAGTAGCGGATCTAGAGAAGGGGCCAAGGGGGCTCGCCCCCTCCCCCTTTATTGTTAGACCGCCACTTCGAGCCACCCTGGGCGAGCCTGTTGTTGGGTGACCTGTTTTCCTTGGTAAGGTCACCATCCTAGCTGAGCCAACTTTTCTCCATATAATAAAAAATAATCAACTTTATTTATATAGCGCTATTTGAGTCCAAAAGCTCAATAGCGCTTTACAGAATTCATAAGAAAGAACAATAATGAAAATAAAAAGAATACCTGACGAACAACATTAAAGTTTCAACTTAAAGATTCTAAACTACACTAAAAACTAAGGCCCTAAAAATTAAGCTGTCGTTACGATTCTTTCGTGTATATTCCTGTAAACAGAAGAAGAGCGCCCGAGCAGAGGAGTACATTCGGATGATCAAAGAACGTCTTTCTGAGGCTGTCCAGCAATGTATCCACGCCGCTGCCGGGGAACGTGAGCCTGCAATACAAAGAGGACTTCTGAGGGTGAGTGTAGTTTCTGAAGTAGTCATGGTAACCACATGATCCTTATGTTCAGTTGCTACGTTTCGATTTTCACAGCAACCCGCCCCCAGGGGGTGGGGGAGTTGTTGACAAGTTTAAGATTTCTTACACAGTGATTGGTGCTCTGTAAACTGCCAGATAAATTTAGCATTGTTTGAAAACATACATTATCTGTCTTCCGTTTCAAAATCACCACCTCCTACTGAAAAAGTTTTAGTTAATCTGCCGAAGTTCCTTCAAATTCGCTTGGGCATAAATCGTTGAACGTGATGCCGTGAAAAGAAAATCTGTACTCAGTATATCTGGGTAATTTGAATTGAAAGCGAAAGAGCGGAAATAGTTCGTCCATTATGTTTCTATTTGAGGAGTGTAGTAAGAGACATAAAGGACTTTATTAATGCTTTCGACGAACGCGTCATTCAGTGATTTTTTAGTTATACAGGATGAATTGAAAATATAGCAAATCTCAGCGAGTGGTCAACATTCGCCAATAACACTGCTCTGTTACCATCTACCAAGCGAAGTTTGCAACGTCGCTTGGTCAGAGATTTTAGGCGGGAAATAGTTCTCGTGTAACATGTCATGTGTCCTCGTAGTAACCAATAAGAGCTCTCCGGCGGTCGATGTTGGGGAAAGTTCCACCTGTAGTATAACCGGTTTTTTTACTGATCTCCGCTGTAATCTTTTCTTCTCTTTGCTAGGCTGCTTCCTTTTGTGAGAGTTTTCTAACTGATATGCCGCCACACGCGTTTGTTTCGATGTGCCGGAATCTTAGAGTGTTAAACGCCGTGCGGGACTACATGGTTGGAATTCCAGTTACATATGGACAATATTCTTTATCTTAATTCAAGAGTGAACCAAATTTCAGTTGTTGCAAAAGCCTCTTCTCACAGGTTACGTTTTGCCCAATTGCAGCGTGTGTTGCAGCAAGTGTACACTATGCTAGCCTCCGTAGCAACACGAAATTTTTTTTTTATTTTTCGGGTTAATTTGCAATTGCTTAAATTGAAATTTCCGCTGCGACGATCATATCTTCATTGAAACTTGCATTTCCGCAGTTCACATCATCTTCAAGTAAGTTATCATTGCTCTAGTCCCAACACTTTCGACGAACTTGCGCGGAAACTTTTTCTTCTTAGTCTAACACTATGCCAGATAGCTCTTGCGTCGGGACAGAAACCATATCGGAGAGTGTTTCTGTCCACACAAGAGAACGGTGATTTCGGTGCGATTTATGTAACGGGGCAAAACTGCGGGGTTTAAATTACTTTTTTTTTTTACAGGGAACGAACGAGATATGTTCCTTTTTCTCTTTTTTGAAACGGATATGTTAAAAGTACGTTAACACAGTTTTCAATTTTGTGGCTCTTATTAAGTTCTTAAAGTGGGCTCCATTTTGCTTTTTTGTCCTCTGAGAGTACTCTGGTTATTTTCAAAAATTATCCAATTTTGACGCCTTGACGATCGTCTTAGACTGGAAAAACTAACAATGAAGACCTTTATCGACAGGTGAGTTTTGTTTTTGTCACGCTGTTTGTTATCTTTTTAAAAAAGGTAAAACGTGCAATGCTTAAGCATTTTTTGAGGGGGAGGGGGCGGTAAAAAAGGTGTATTGCATATAGCTGGAAATTTTTTCATAACAGTGCGCGCTCTCATTAGTTTCTCCGAGGTCACATGACCGTTACAGCGAGGGAAGCGAGGTTTAATGAATTTCCAGCTATATAGCCTCTGGAAACGTTGAGATTCTCGGAAAACAAATATAACTGTTTCCCTCGAGACCAGTCATTAAGTGTTTAAGTGTTTATTCCACTGTGAAACGTTCAATAAGTTCCGAGCTTCAGGTGAGAATCAAACTTACGACCTTTCGAGTTCGAGATCAGACGCTCTTCCCACTGAGCTGCAGGGAGCTCTATAGTGTGGAGGGTCGAAATTTTTATTGATCATACACCAGACCCGCTATAGTACATAGTACGAAATAGTACTTTTAAGAAAAAAATAGCAAAATGAATATGATGTATGTCCGATAACCTTTCTCTTTTGCCTGACTAAAATGGTAACGTGGTTGGACTTAAGTCATTTCTAAATATCAAAATTATTTGCATTCCTAGTGAATATAAAACAAGTTGAAGCAAAGTTATTGTTTTTTTACTTGCCTACTTTCCGTGTCTAAACCGTGTTTACTACATTGATTTTTCCACCAACAGACCTGGAGATGGAATTATTTCCCTTAAGTTTATTTTATTACCGTTTATTTTCTGCTCCTGTAGGCTTGTTTTGAGGCGTCACTACTGTCTGGCCATAAGAATCTGTGATTACTGGAAGATTCCTAAGGGGGAGGGTGCCAGTCGCATCCTTGGACACTTCGCTTGTTATAAAGTCAGTGTAACCAGCGGATACCGGTTGGCTGTTACCTATATGTAAGCAGGGGTCTTCCCGCAATCAGCTTATGGCTGGTAATTAATAAAATTGGTAATGGTGAATTATAGTTGTGGCAGTAGACACAACTGGGGTTGGGTGTCCGGTGGTTGTTTCATGTGCTGAATTTGGCACATTGCTCTTCGTGTTTGTGTATTTATCAAAGATCACAAAATCAACCTATGAAAAGATCTAGATCAATTAGAGTGGATCGAACGCGGTGAAGACAGCGTGGCCAGGCGCCTATCACGTTGTTTTCGCAATCCGCCGGTCCTGGTTGGAGTCTTACTCTAGCCACTTGCTGAATTTATTCGCGGTATTTCCAAGTTCAGATACCTGGTCATGCTTGTAAATAGCCAACTGGTTTCCTCCTGCCAGCTGGGGTTTTTAATCCTGTTGTGTTCTATTTCCTCAATAAATAAACAGTTGGCCTTTCACTTGGCTGGGATGATCACATTGAAATTAACTTCTCCGCCCTAGTAGAATACAATAGTGTCCGTAAATAGTTTTTCTTGTGTTTAATATATTGACATTTCTTTCGATCCTTCACCTCTTCAAAACTTGCTTTTCTTGTTTAAACAGGTTCAGCAAGCCAATGTTGATGACGAAGAGATTGCTCGTGCCATCAACTCCAAGCTCGGAGAGACTCCTGGGATATCTTACTCAGAAATAGCTTCAAAGGCAGTGGACTGTGGACGAACTCACCTGGCCATCAAGGTTAGTTGAGAGCATTCACATGAACAGTATAATTATAGACTATACGTTCCCAGTTCAATTTGGGACATAAACTGGTGTCTTCCGTTAGTATTTCCTTGCTAAATGCACGAGGTTCAAAATAACGAGGGTTGATATAGAATGGGATTTTTACCTGCGGGATGCGTTTACTGTGAGTAATCAAGAATTGTTTCCGTACCTGGAGTATTAAGACCTCGCTTGCTTTCAGCGCTGCACTTTATCAGCCAGCTTAAGCAACGACGACGACGACGGCAGTGAAAACGTCACTAAGAAAATGAATTTCCCGCGTCCTTTTAATCTTTATCGCGTCTATTTGGAACCGCTTAATTCGTTAAATGTAGGCGACTTTTCCTGGAGTTAAATTCCTATTGTCTTTATCCATGTTCAAATAGAGAACGGAAAATTTGTTTTCGTATGTCCATGTCCTCCATAAAACGTCGCATTGGGAGGTTTCACGTCGTAGTCGTGCAGTGGACGTCAAAGAAATGTACCAAAAAGCGTGATTCACAGAGCAGTCGTTTTGCTCATAAAACCAATTGTTGTTTGACGTTGTTGTTGTTGCAAAACAACGGGCGCTTTCCATTCAACCAAAACGTTCGAAAATTGGAAACAGCGGCAAATGGTACAGAAATGTCCAGGAAAAGTTTCTAGAAATTCCGAAAGATGTTGAATTTCCGAAATGTGAACCATGCATTCAATCGAAAATTCTAGAAATTCCCGGAAGCAAAGTTCAATGAAAAAAAAAATTTCGGAAAAATTTTTTTTAAAATTTGGGCACCCGTCGAGAAACAAAACTTACGGCTGCAAAGAAGAGCAATGGGGGAAAGGAACATCGAGGGTTTTAACAACTGAAGTTTTTAATTCAATATAAAAAAACATGTTGAAGTTTTATGCTCTAGCCCTTCGTCAGACTGACCGAAGGGTTAGCACTCGAAATGTCCCTACTATGCCAAATTTCCTATGTCAACTTAATTGATTAATATAAATTCTTAGCTTTCACCGTGGTTCGCTCGAGGGGTTACCAACATGCTCGTTTCATGGGACGTCAACAACACCTGGAACAGACCGGATCAGATCAATCTCTGTAACTGACTGAATAACGAAAGGTAAGGGATAGTGCCTCTGGGAATGATCTGATCCGGTTCCGCGGTCCAGGTTTGGCCAACAGCCCTTCTCGTGGCTTCGCCTCCTGTGCCTCCTCGAGGAGACCTGCCTACAGCCTGGCTTAAAGCCAGCCTTGACCTCTAGCTGGAGTAATCTCACCATAGTAAGTTCGTCGTTTGACAATCGGTAAACGAGCCTATCATACCCAATTCATGATTCATAATGTATCTTTCAAGGTACTCATATCTTCTTGTTTTTTTTTTTTTACCTGTAGCTTTTGGACTATGAGGCGGAAGCCGCTGACCAAGTTCCACTGCTCATGCGCATGAATAAAGATGACCTAGCTCTCGAGAAGGCCATTATGATTGGAGACACGGATCTGAGTGAGTTGTGAGTGGGTACCACTGCGGTTAGCTACAGCAGTTTGGTGATTTTTTAAGTTCGTTTTTGTTTCGTCGTTGTCGCTCAAAAGCCGACTTATAGGAAGGTCTATCTTAATGTTGAAATTGTACCAATGGTTCAAAAAAATTAGAATCAACTTTTTCTCAGCCTAAAAGTTGGCGTTACACTAGCGGTGTTACAAGCACGGGCAGAGTTGCAAACCGTAAAATATTTTTGAACTTGTTTTGTAGCTTATTATTCTGATCTTTTCTTGCCGTTGACACAATTTCAAGTATATCTCAACCATCTTGATCCTTACATGCCCTCCTCCAATGGTAACAGCTTTCTCTGCTCAGGTGATCAAAATTGATGGATCCGAACCGCCGTCATCAAAAACCCGCCTACTTGATTTTCCCCTGTATCTAGATGACATTTCATTTTCGTTGTCTTTTTTTTCTTTCTAGTATTTATGGTTGTTATGCATTTGAAGGATAATCTAATTCCTGGCGAGTTGTTGATGGCCATACGTTACCGTCCTGTGGCACTCAGCCTCCACATCAAGGTGAGTCTATGAGAAAAGAGTTGTGTAAATGAGTGTGTATTTGTTCAAGGCTCCAACCAAGAGAAAACTTGCCGTAAGGTCCTTCAACGTAACCCTAATATTGTATTTGCTAGGAAACGTTTTTCCTTTTATGCGTTCACTCTTTAAGATCACAAAAATGACGTCAAAATGTTGGAGGAGTGAGTGGTTTTACGGTAACGTTTGTACCATCTAATGTCAATTCTTTGAAATGTCGGAGCCTCGGCAGTGACAAATGGCTACTTGTCTAGTTATTTGTTGTTGTTTTTCTACAATGTCTTGGAGAATCGCGCTCAACAGACAGAGACGAGAAGGATCTTTCGTTTCTATTCTCTGTACTGTCATGAGCAAAACCTGTCGACCAATCGGGGCGCAGGAAACGCTCGGTTATTGTAAATCATTAAACTGTGTGGCAGGCGTCTTAAGAGGTATTGAAAAAAGTGAAAGTGGGAAAGGGAAGCCTGCTCTAGGACCACCTTTTTCATTTCTGCTACCTTTTCCCTTCACTCTCTTTTTCTCTCCCTCCCCCTTCCCTCGTTTTGTACCTGCCACGCAGGCTATTGTGAAACCTATATATTCACTTTGACATGACTGTGATTTGTCTGCAGTATTGTAAGGATCAGGATCGCCGTACACTTGTGGACCTGTTCTACCAAGATGACCAGTTTATGAACAGTGGTAATGCCTTTGTGCGGGACAGCTATAGCGAGAAGGTATCATATAAAGTAGCTTGAAATACTATCATGCTTAGGAGGGGATCTGGTCGCAAATTGTTTTATTATTTTATTTCTTTATTGGCTTAATATGTAATTTCAATTCTGAGCAAAGGTGCGCACGCTTCACTCCGTTTCTTTATGGCGTCATAGAATATTTTTGTTGTGACTTTATCAGACTACCAAGTTCCGCTTTTACCTCATTTCCGCATGGCGTTTTCCGGTTAGAAAATGGGAGAAACTTACTCCTCTTAAGGTCAGCAGCACTCTTGTTTATTTTGAACGTCATTGAGAGCCGAGAATACGTGTAGCAACTCTTATTTTCAATTTAACTCGTTGATCTCTTGTGCTTAAACTGGAAACCTTTACCAAAATTCGTTTTAATCATAACCAGTGATATCTACTACACGTGCACTTATTGTTGCCAGCCCTCAATTCGGCGACCACGTGACCAAAGAAACGACAAGAATAGGAGTCGACTAAAGTCAACAAGGTATCTGATATTTTTCACAGGTGTCGTAGAGCCAACAAAGCGCGCACGCCTGAAAATCGCAACTTGCAAGGAAGACCGTCACACAAAGGGTGAGTTGCGTGACGCCTTCAGGTCTCTCTTGCAATCTGGTCCTCAGAGCTTTTCTTAGCCTTGTCTGGCAGAACAGTCACTTTTAGTGCTAAACCAGCAGGATCAAAGCCTTGGGAAGGTCATGTTGCAGCTGCTCAGAAGAAAAGTCACCAGTGGTGCCTAACCCTGACCCCAAACAATACTGAAACAATTGAAAGAATGACATGTCATTGTTTTCTGCGGCCAATCAGGAGAGACCTTCCAAGCAGCTCCTACACAACTACCTTGGGAAGGATATTGGCGCTGATGCTTTTATTCCTTGAGAAATGAGAGGCAATTCGTTATCACCCGTCGTAGAATACAATCATCGTTTTCGTATCACTTGTCAGTACATTTGACATAAAACCTGATTTCTCATGATTTTCTTCTATTTTTATTGTTTAGGCAATAGAATCCAAGATAATAACATTGTCTAAAGCACAGAGGTCTTACCAGCAAGGAGGATTTCAGTTCTACTCAAAGGTGTGTGCTCTTGACTTTGTTTCTTTGATTTAAAATACTCCAAACTCCACCAACGCTAGGGTCACCCATTTCTTACTACAGTAAAACCACTATTAAGCGGACCCCCAATTACGCGGACACCCTTTATTAAGCGGACTATAAGCCGGGTCCCGAAATTAACGTCTTATATTAGCCTTTATGACGAATCCCAATTCAGCGGACACCTCTATTAAGCGGACGAGGACACTAAAATAAATTGTATTTGGCTAATTTCTATTGTTAAAAACCTCTATTAGGCGGAAACCGGACTGAATTGACAATAGTAGTATTGGATTATGTCCTTGAAATACATACTGTAGTCGATTTATAAGGATAAATCAATACATTTAGCTGTCAAAAGTTCACCTAAAAGTCTTGCACCATGTAAAGCACAGCTTCCTTAGCGTCCTTAACAACATGGAACTTTATCACAGTACAGAGTAACCTTTGAATGTTAATCGTTAACAAACAATGTGCAATTTTTACAAAACCTCTATTAAGCGGACACTAGGGAAGGTCCGGAAGGTGTCCGCTTAATAGAGGTTTCACTGTATGTGGGAGGAACAGAAGAGGGACGTTGTGCCTTTCCTAGTAATCTAGGATACGGGATAAACTTGCGATATTCGAACCAAAAGCACCCAGAAACTCTCAGTCAGCTGTGTTTGATTAACAAATACCTTGACTGTACTCTGGACTGATATAAATCACGCAGGAGGAAGCGCCGGGCTAGGGCACGAAAGAAATGTAGGGGGAAACACGAGACGTAGTCGAGTGTTTCTCCCCACTTCTCAAGTGCTTTGTAACATAACAAAGCACAGTAAAGGTTTCTTTAGTAGTTTTATGATAAAGAATCCGTTAAATTCGCCACACATTACTTTCTAATTTTCAAAACAAACTGATAAACACGCTTTTTAAGCCAATCAGAGTGCGCGTTATACTGCTCTGAACTATAAATATCTCAATAAAACATTTCCTGTCAGTGATACATTCTATATACGCGCGATTTAATTTTTCAGGCAACAGAAGAACAATGAAACTCATGGTATAATATCAAGTCAAACTAGAAGAGAAGTAAAGAAAGACATTTATGGATCTGTCTTTCAGTGATACTATCTACCAGGTGTGATAAAGACACTAAACTGTGTTAGCCTTTACCGTGGATTTTCAAACGTTCACGATGTGAGCTTATTTTTAAGGTGTAACTATCAGTACAGTTGGGCAGCTGGATCAATTGAGCTTTCTGGGTAACTGACCACTTCCCCCCCCCCGCCCGTCCCCCATTAAGTCAACAGTAACACTTTTTCCTTACTTAGAGCAACATTGTAACTTAGGGGAGGGGTAGGTAGTCAGTTACTCAGAAACGTCAATTAATACAAAAAGCTCTGAAAAGTAACTCTCATTTGAATGATCAAAATTAAGATGTCATCAATATAGTCAAATACTACCTTTAACAGCTTAATAAACAGTGCCGCTGGAAATCTTTGTCAAATACAAGCTTTCATTCGAATGGCCATACTAAAGGATTGTCAAATGTTAGAAGTTGAAATCAACAGTGTACGCTGGAATCTCTCAGATCTCTGCTCAGTAGCTTTTGTTAGGATTGTTATTTTTAAACTATTATCTAGACTTGGTTGTTAAAACCAAAGCAAAGTAAACCGCGGTGGAAAGCACTATTAAAAGTAGCTTTAGTTTCTTCATTGTCACAGATTTAATACCCATACACTATCATCAGTTTCTAAGGATTACTTTACACTTTTCAGTGCATACTTCAAGGAGACCTGAAAGCCGCTGACCAACTGAAAAAGGCGTTCAAGGTTCCAGATAAAAGGTTTGTAACCTTTTTTTTATCAGAGACCGTAAACAACGAGACCTTTGACATCTGAGGGCCCTTTTTTGAAACAACCTTTAGCTTCACCACGTTGAACAAAGGCTTACTTGTTCACACCACTGATTTGTAGCCTGTGTAGAATACATTTGAAGGGGAAGGGAAATGTGGGAATTAGGGCGCGTTAGGGAGGAGGAAATTTAAACGAGGTCTAACTTAGGCCGCGGTTTAGGAAAACATTGGACTTCCAGATCCTTTTCTTAAGGGGTTAATTAAAGAAAATAAGTGCCTTTCCAGTCTACAGTATATACTTTCTTGAGATTTTTCACGAAAAATGGTGTTTAGATAAAAACGTTGAGCAAACTGAAAATGGCCAAGAACGCGGTTTGGTTAAACACGGGTTAAACTCCGTTTAAACAACTGGCCCAAATGGTCTCTCTACTTTCATCCTCGCGCGTCCATCGCGTTCCCGTTCTCACACGGGCTGTTTCAAATTAGCCTGTACTATGTAGAGCTAAGGCTTGCTTGGTCACATCCTGATTTGTAGTCTATGTGGCAAGCATTTGAGGTGGAGTGAAAGAGAGGGAGGGGATAAGGGCGCGCGAGGAGGGAGAGAAGAAAGGGTTTCCGTCCTTTTCTCCTCGCGCATTCATCGCGTTCTCGTTTTCACACGGCTTGTTTTCGAAATAGCCTCTAGTTGCACCACGTAGAGCTTATGTTTGCTAGTTAAAACCACTGATTTGTAGCCTGTGTGGCAGGCATTTGAAGGAGTAGTGAAAGGAGGGGGAGGGAATCAAGACGCGCGAGGAAAAATAGCAGACAGGGTTTCCTTCCCTTCCTCCTCGCGCGGACATCGCGTTCACGCGCACCTCAGTTATTCCTCCTTTTCCTACCCCTTCAAACTCCTTCCTCATAGTTTAGCTCATTTGCCGCATTGTCTTGTCTTTAGGTTTTACTGGCTGAAAGTAAGATCCTTGACCTTAAAGTCACAACTGGCTGGAACTCGACAAGTTTTCCAAAGCTCGTAAATCTCTAATTGGATACGAGGTAAGTTCACTGACCGTGTTTTCCGAAATAATCAAGCAATGTGCTCAACTAGGGACAGATACGTGCAAAGCTAATCCTTTAAACCCTAAAATCCGGACTCACTTACGCAGGTAATTTGGGACCTTACAAAACTACGATGGCGAAAGTAACGGAAAGGCCTAAAACACAATAGGTTAATGAAGGAGCGGAACAACAGCTCTACACGTCCATCAATCTTTTTTGTAAATTTTTTTGCCTTTCCCACACATCTACGAAAGGACATGACTAAATTTGAGAAATTTGAGAATGGGACTCCCCTTACCTTCAGCTCCAACCTAATTTCCCGTCTTTTAAGTAACTAGACGAATTGAAATGATGCGAAGTCAATTTTTCGTCGACCTTTTCATTGGCGTCGCCGTCATCAGATCGTAAGTTAGGGTGGTTAGGGTCTACGCCTTGTTACGGCGGTGGTCAAAACAAGGACAAGTTTGTGAAGAGAAAAAAGGAACCGGAAACGGGTTTGTGCCAGAGTCGAACCTTTCTACAACGGCTCCCTTGAGAGCAAAGTGCCTTTTTTAGAGGAGTTGCAATTGTGGGGAATAAGGGGGCATCTCGGAACACTCCGGATACCCCCCGGAACATCCCCCGGAACCTGGCAAAAAGAAACCCTAACCCCACTGTGTAAGATATTAAATGTTTCTAGCGTGAATGTATGGATTGTCTGGCGGAATAAAAATCATGGTCGTCTTAGACAGATGGCGATTGGAAGATTCGTCGGTATTTATCAAAAAGCATTTATTTCTTTTTTATTAAAGGCTACGTTCATGAGTTCCCATGACTGTAACATTGTGAATAACATTCCAGTGTGAAGACGCTGTAAATTTTATTTACATTGCTTTTTTTACAGCCATTTTTTGAAGCATGCCTGGAATCCAACAACAGAATAGGAGCGGAGAAATATATCTCCAGAGTTCTTCCCGAAAATAAAGTGACGTGTTATATGTGAAACTCGGGTGAGTTTATCCGTTCATTGAAGTTCTTACTTTACTCAAAGGCTGACTAAACAAACTTACCTTGTGTAGTGATCACTTGTGTTCCAACTATGCTGTTCATCCTTTCACTGAATCCGCTGACCACAAAACCCTGAGCATATACAAATTCGTAAGTGATTGGGAACAATAACTCGAGTTCTGCACTGCTAATTGATGCTACCCTGAGAAAATAGCTGACATTTTGTGACACCACCACTGGTTTCCTCGCGAACTGGTCTGAAGAATGTTTGCAGATATTCCATACTGATGTGACGTGTAGCTTTCTATCAGTAAAAACAAAATTGACTGCTTTGTTGGCTAGGACTCGTGTTTTTGATTTAAATATTTGATTTCGGGCCCGAAAAGTTAGTGGGACTTTCGAGAAACGAGCTAATCATATTTCACCTAGTTATAAACGGCATTTTAATTTTTGTCCCAGGAAATACGAAGATGCGGCGGAAACAGCTTTTGCTCAGAAAAGCAAGGAGGGCCTGGATCTAGTCCTTGGAAACTGTTCAAATTCAAATCGTCCGTTGGTGAACCGCATTCAAGAAATGAAGGCTCAACTGCGGCAAAGTAGAAAAGCCTTACTAGAATGTATTTTGAGCAAGTTTCGTCTCATCAAGCGCACCTTGTGAGTTCATAATAGAAACCGAGTTCATGTTAATTGGATCTAGGCAGAAGTTAAGTACTGTAACAGTTTCCCCAACACTTGCAATTAATGATTTTCGAGTTACCCAAGTCGCTACTGCTAAATCTCTTGGAGTGACCATCGATGATAATCTCGATTGGGGTAGCCATATGGAGAAGATAATAAAGAAAGTATCTTCTGGCATTGGGGCCATAAAGCGAGTAAGGCACCTTGTCCCCCAAGGGACCTTACAACTAATTTACCAAGCTCTTATTCACCCTCACTTCAATTATTTCAATATAATACTATTTTGGCCGGAAACTGTGGGATAACCTTAAGGAACAAACTTCAAAAACTACAAATTAGAGCAGCCCGTTTTTTGACATTTTCAGACTACGATGAAGACGCTGGTTACCTGTTTGAACTCCCAGGATGGAAAAATCTAGCGCGCCAGCATGAAATTGAAAAAGGCACGATGGTTTCTAAGTCTTTATACAGGTTGGCTCCAGAATATTTATGTTCTAGGTTTGCAATACGAGAAACGGCATATAACCTTAGAGACTCTGAGAATAAACTTTGCATCCTTTACCACGGACAAATTATTACAACAATAGCTTTAGCTATAGTGGCGCCATCCTATGGAACAAACTCCAGTGTAGTGTGAGACAAGCAGAGTCCCTTACGAAATTCAAATGTCTTCTTAAACAAGTACTCAAGGGCGCGGCATTCATGGAAAGCAGCTTTTTCTTTAATATTTTTATTATAATGTAGATAGTTTATAATTACTGTTTTTTTATTTGAATTGTAATGAATTGTATTTAACAATAATAATTCCTCGAGCCTGAATGGGCTCTGAGTCAATAGCCCATTCGGCCTTCGGCCTCATGGGCTATCGACCTCAGAGGCCATGAGAGCGAGAGGAATAATTGTTTTAGTAAAATCCAACTAGTTGGTCAGAAATATCGAGACAAAACAACTTTAGCTAGTTAAAGCGAGACTTTAATCCTTTTTTGCCGCCAAAAAGCCAGCGCTTTTCGCTACTAGTGGGCTATAACATATAGCCTAGTAATAGCTCAACCAATCAGAATTCAACATTGATAATAGACCACTAGTTGGAGTTTGCTAACTACCTTTATCTACCTATCTATCTATCTACCTACCTACCTACCTCCGTGGCTGAGCCTCGGGTTCCGTTTCACCACACACGGACAAGATTACAAGATCTTATGCTATGACGGTGGCCGGTCGTTTCGATACAAAATTGTTTCGATACAAGTAATTTGCTTGTCAAAATGATCTTCCTGGAAAACTACCTAATAAAGGGTTTTGATGCAAATTACTTAGTGTTGCCGCCGCCCGCCATAGTACATGTGTGTTATTGGCACACAGGATTGTTGATTGTATACTGGCCAATCACAATAAAGCAAGCAAAGCAAGCAAACCTCAAAACTACAAACTAATTACCATTACTGTTTGCGTTTTAGTTGTCTCGCGCCTTATTGGCTAATTTTGGGCAACACAATAACATTCCTTAAATATTTCTTGTGTTCACGGTTTTGTGAGTTTCACAGTAAAAATTTGTTAACCCTTCTCACCTTTAACTACTGCAGATATTTTTTTATTATTATTATTATTATTATTATTTATTTATTTATTTATTTATTTATTTTATTGACAAGAAAAAAATTAATTACAAATACTTGTTATTTTAACTATGAAAATATATATATCTATATGGCAAAAAACAAACTAAATTTGTAACGAAAAAAAACAAACAAACAAACAAACAAACAAACTAAATTCAAAGGAAAAAGACGCAAACGTGATAAGTGAAACAGTATAGCAGTAAAGTGTAGCTTGAAGGAAATGACACTAGCATTCACGTATCTAAAGAAGTTTGTCCCATGTTTTTTTGAATTGCGATAGGCAGTTAGATCTAAAAGCTATTGTGCGAAGAATATCAATTTTGTTGTTGAGACGCAGTAGAAAACTGTCAAAGTCCAGGACGCCGTTGCGTACGCTTGTAGCAAAAACATTATATTTGGCGACAATCAAACAGTAATTAAGCACTTCCCAGTTATTTGACTCTTTGTGCCAACCATATAAAATAGTGCTTTCAGATAAAATCAGTTTTTGATTAAATTTTTCGTCTCACCAGTTAGAAAAACAAGTCCAAACCGAAGAGGATACACTACAGGTAATTAACATATGTTTTAGAGATTGACTTTCAAGGTTGCATAAAGGACAAACATCAGTATCAGTTATGCGCGCACGGAAGAGGCTAGATTGGGTAGGCAAAATATTGTGAATAATTCTGACTTGGAACATGATCAGTTTTGGTTCTTTCAAGATTTTGAACGGGAGCATGTAGATGTAAGGAATTTCCTCAATGGTGAACCCATGATCTAGAATTCTGCCTTCAGCAGTGGGTGCTGAGAAGCTTTTGTCAAGTATGGAAGAATAGGCTTCTTTTGTGGAAAAAAAGCTTCAAGGATGTGTTGCACTTTTCAGATTTATCATGCACGCCTGCTTTGACTCTTAGTGCACTTTTCCATTCAGTTTATATGGCTCTTAAAATGCCGTAATAAGTGGTAAAAGGAAATTCAAAGTTATATTTCTCTTTCATTTCTGATAAGGTAAGAAATTTAAGGTTAACATTTAAAAGGTCTTCGATGCAACGAATTCCACTTGTACACCAGGATTTAATATAAATCGGTTTTCCATCAATACATATGTTACGGTTATTCCAAATTATTTGTTTTTTTATGGAAATTTGCTTGTCACAGGTCAGTCTTCTGAAGTCATGCCAGTAATTTAAAATGGTGTGGTAAAACTCCGGAAGGTTCTCTAAGTTGAGTAGCTTAGGATCGTAGTCGCATTCGATGAGGAACTCTAGACCTCCGTATTGGTTAAGAGCTTGATTTGGGATTTTTTTCCACGAAGCATTACTTGATTCAGCAATACGCTTTATCCAAGCAATCTTTAGCGACCGCTCCATGATTTCAAAGTCAATCATCTTTAGGCCCCCACAGTGTTTTTCACCAATGATAGTCTTTTTCTTAATTTTGGGAGGCTTACCCTCCCAAATGAAGCCGAAAATAATCTTATTAATTCTGTCTATAAGGGATTTAGATACGGTCAGTAACGAACTGCAATATATGAGTTTCGACAAACCTAACGTCTTCACAATATTGATTCTGCCAATTAAAGTTAGCTTTCTTTTTTTCCAGTTGTTGAGTGTTTTTTCTAAAGAACAAACCTTTTCTTCAAAATTAAGGGTGTTGGCTTGCTTTAAGTCATAGGAAAAGTGTATACCAAGGGCATAGACTGGTTCTTGGGGCCATTTAAAACCAAACGGCTTGTCTTTGCGCGACCTCCAACATCCTAACCACAACGCTTCGGTTTTGTTTGTGTTAATTTCGAGACCACTGATCTGCTTGAATTTGTCTAAATGTTTTTTTAATTGTGTGACAGAATCAAGATCTCGCACCAAAACGGTGGTATCGTCTGCGTATTGGGTTATCTTAATTTCATTCTGACCGACTTGGATACCTTTAATAGTATGGTCTTTCTTAAGTACTCTAGCTAAGAGTTCGATTCCAACGACGAAAAGGAGGCCAGACAGTGGGCAACCTTGTCGCACACCTCGATCGAGAAGGAAGAAGTCCGATGCATGACCATTGTGCAGTACACAGCTCGATGCTTGGTTGTAAATAACTTGAAACCAGTTGAGTATGTCAGGGCCAAAATTAAACGTTTGTAAAGCGGCTCTTAAGTAGTTCCATTCTATTGTATCAAACGCTTTTCGAAAGTCAAGAAATATGGCAATACCGGGTTTTTCTTCCTGCTTAGTGTGAGACATTACGTCTTGAATTAGTCTAACGTTTTCACCGATAAAGCGTCCTTTAATGTAACCAGTTTGGTCAGAGTTTATGATTTTAGGGAGGACTTTTTCTAGTCTTTTTGCAATAGATTTTGTCAGAATTTTGTAATCAACGTTTAGTAGAGATATGGGTCGCAGGTTTTCGAGTAAAGTTTTGTCTTTGTTCTTTTTGGGGATGAGTGAAATGATTCCGCGCTTTTGGCTGATAGATAGTGAACCTTTTTGGAAAGCATAATTAAAACTGGCAGTCATCTCAGTGCCAAGGTCACTCCAGAAGAATTTGTAGAATTCTGCAGAAAAACCATCAGTTCATGGTGTTTTATTGTTTTTAAACTCTTTTAAGGCAGTTAAGCATTCTTCTTTTGAAATCATGCCTTCACACAGTATTTGTTCGTTTTCATCTAGCGGATCAATATTCTCTAAATTGAATAAATCAGATTCAGGCAGATTATCCTGGGAATTTTGCGA